TCCACTAAATATATCAAAGTCTAGGCGCGAACGCAAACCATCGTGGATATTCACTAGATGTTATTTGATTTTGCTTACTAAGTATAGATGGCGATACCACTTTCGCATCTACTCATGCTCGACCCGCTGTAATTGAGTTCGATCGAAATTTGTGTCCTAATCAGACTCCATTAGAGACTGAAGTCGAGAATTTCCATTTATTGCTGAAGAGTCCTAATAAGGATGACTTTCTCCTTAGTGGGCACAATCAAAGGCAGAGTGTTGAAAATATTTTGAGTGTTGAAAATATTTTTTATCTCTGCTATTTTCTTTTGACGTTATTCAATAATCATTGGTTACTTATGAACCACTACTAAAGATACCCATAAAATATTTTGCTGAATATCCGAATATCTTCTATATCCTGGGATATAGACGGACATTTGGTTGGATATACATATTGGATATATTGAATATCCACAAAATATATTCTGTGGATATCTCTGGGATTTCTTGTATTGTCTGAAAGATACCCATTAGATATTTTGCTGGATATCCATTAGGATATCTTCTATATTCTGGATATAGACGGACATTTGGATATCCATATTAGATCTACGAAATATTTCTGATATCCTGTGGATATATTGGATATCCACAAAAGATATTCTGTGGATATCTCTGGGATTTGGTGTGTTGTCTGGGTAATCTTCACTTTTTTTTCGAGATTTAGAAATTGGTAGTGCTGTAGGGGGTCCACCGGATCCAGCAAAATTTTGAAAGTGGTCTATGAAACAAAAGAGTTTGGGAACCTCTGATGTAGGGTTACCATATTTTTGTTTGACCCAGTAGAGGACGAGAACCCTTTTTTTAAGCTCTTCAACTCAAAGTAAATAGATAAACACAAGTCATATGTAAACTACTATAGTAGGACTCTTTTTTAGCTCCCCAAGTCTTAGTACGGTCGCCCTAAATAAAATGTTTACGAATTCTAAGAATTTTAACATCTTGGGGGTGGGTCATGACCCCCTGCCCCTAGGCCCTTGTTCAAAAGTCAACTATTAGCCACACGTGACTTTAAATTGAAAATTAAAAGTGAAACATGAGTTTTCAAAGATTAAAGTGATAAAATATTTAATAAATTGTCCAAGTACTACTTTTTTTATTAGCAATCAAACATGTACTTCGTTTAAAAGTGGTCGTCAACTGGAGAAGTCCCTATGTAGAAAACATGAAAATCGTAATGTGTGCAAACCACTCGATTATCATTGATCATAAGCAAAAAACCTCTAGGGGCCAAGTTAGAAACTTTAAAATAATTTCCAGCGATTTCTCTTGACCACTTTTATAGCGAAAATTTTTTCCCAAAATTCTATAACTCGCAATTTCTACAAGCTGTTGCACTACTTACAAATACATTAGAAAATTAGAGAAATTAAGGCCAGAATTATCATTATTCATTTATATGGTTCAAATATGTTTATCTACTTTTAAATTTTGATAAAGAACCTGAATTCTAAGAAAAACCCATTGTTATTAGTTAACAAAACCGCTTTAGATATAATTTTATTGAGTAAACAATTTGTTACATCACCTTCTCGGTGTAATATACCTATTAATGTTTTGTATCTCTGATAATGATTAGTCATTATTTGTGCGATGTCCTTGTTGCAATTCTTACTTCAGTCATAAAATTTATCATCGTACTTTGGTTAATCATACAATGAGTAACTCATTTAATACCGATCTGTAAATTACGAAGTATAGGCAACCAATAATACAGACAGTTTAACGAACAACTTGAATTAGGGTATTTCCTGCAGTTTCAATATTTAAAAAACTTATTTATTACCTATATTTATAATAAAAACTTCATAGATACTCTTTCTGCAAATAAAGTGAGTGTTTTGGTGGATTTTATCCTTTACACACTTACCTGTTCTTATTTGAAGTGATTCAAGATAATCTCCTCCACTATGATGATATCTAGGTTATATTCTTGTGATCTCCCATCTACCACTAGAATTAAAAACGGGAAATTTCAAAAATAAACCTCAAATTCTATAGTATTGTGTACTGACAAACAAGATAACTAGAAAAAGCTGTGTCTTTGTAAACATTTTTTGTAAAAATTATCATCTAAAAAAGTATAACCTTAAAATTAATCGGTATAAAATAGATATATACAATTTACATGAAACCATTTATATTTTGAAATAAAGAGTTGTCTATAGTCGTATTATACATAATTTATACACTTTTAAAAGCATAAAATGAATCTAAAGTTAATCAAGACATATAAGTAATTATTTTCTAACCTAGGATAAGAAGTAAATTTATAAAAAACTTATTGTGTGTCATCAAAACGATATTTAATGATATAAGCAGACTTACCAGCACAAGAGAAAGTTAAATTTTAAAATATTTTCCCAGTATTTTCACATTTTTCTAACCGAAAAACTAAAAACGAAGCCGATTTTAAAAATGTCCGCGAAAAACAATTGCAATCTTAAAATTCTAGACACCAAGGTGGCGTTCTCTATGGAGCGATGGCTGTACTTTTAAATATAGAAAATGAGAAAATGTTTTTCTTTATTTTAGATAAAATAAATATATATTTAATTTTGTTTTAAAATCTATTTGTTTAATCAAAAGCAATAAATTTTTACATTAATAAGGCATTTCATTAGGAAATCGAAAATATCTTTAATTTTACTTGTTTCTCAACACCTTAGCGCCATCTATGTGACAATAATGATACTTTTTTAATATTTTGTAACTTATTACGAGTTCTGTTAAATAATAGGATAAAATTAGTTTACTTACAATCGATTAGGAGCTTTTTTGTTAATTACCTATTCAAATTTTTACTTTATCATCTAAAAAAGTGCTTATAACCTGAAAATTAATCTGTATAAAATAGGTAGAATACAATTTACATGAAACCACATATTTTTTGAAATAGCTTTCTAGAGTCGTATTAGGTATACTGCATATTCATAATTTAGTCATTTTTTAAAAGCATAAAATAAATCTGAAGTTAACCAATGCCTAGTATTTATTTGCTGATCTGGGATAAGAAGTAGGTTTGATAAAAAACTTATTTTGTATGATCAAAACGACATTTTATAATATAAGTAGACTTACCAGCACAACAGAAAGTCTATTTGTAAAATATTTTTCCCAGTATTTTAACACTTTTCTAACCGAAAAACTAAAAACGACACCAATTTTAAAAATGTCCGCGAAAAACAAAAGTATCTTAAAAAGCTAGACAACAGGGTGGCGTTCCCTATGGAGCGATTGCTGTACTTTAAATAAACAAAATATATTTATTTTATTATTTTAGATAAAATAAAATAAATATATATTTAGTTTTGTTTTAAAATCGATTTGTTTAGTCAATGTTTAATCAAAAACATAATAAATTTAGAAAATAACTTCAATTTTACCTCAATCTCTCAGCACCTTAGCGCCATCTATGTGACAGTAATGATATTTTAATTATAAAATATTTTTTATTGTTACTTATTACGAGTTCTCTTAAATAATAGTATAACATTAGTTTACCTGCAATCGATTACGAGTGTTTTTGTAATCTATTCAAAGTTTTACTTTAATTTTTACTGTTTTTAATTTTTATATATATATCTCTCTCTATTTCATGCATCAATACCTAGGTATATACCAATACACCTTTTTTTCCATAGCCATACTTGATCATTAAACTAATTTTTATTTAATTGATAATATGATAATTAAACTTTCAGATTAAATTATTTTTCTATATTAAAATGTTTCTCTGTTTTTCAATTTAGGTTTATTTCTGGAATATTTGTGGCCCACTAGATATGCAACCACACATACATTTTGGAAATGTTTAAACCAGTGACGTAGCGTGGCGTCGATACAAGGGGATATAATGAGTAACTGCCATTTACATTTTATAAAGTCAAGTTTTTTTAATAAAATATTTTGGACTTACAAAATAAAATGTACAAAAAAATGTTTAAAAAAATGTGAACGTATCTGTTTTAAAGTTTAAAATTAGGATCAATCCTTCTAGTGTGTAGATTTGCGAAAATATTTATTACATTTTCTTCAAATGAAGGGGATGAATGCGATTACGATACTGTAATAAAGTAAACCTTTGTTAACTATAGGCTTTATTTAACGAAACGTTTGCCAAAGACAAAGTGCCAAAGTGGCAGATACTGACAAATAAACAAATATACAATATGATAATAAAAACAAACTAGATAAAATATATGACAGATACCCACATTCGCCTATTAATATACGACGAACGAAAACAGCGGACTGGAAACCTGAAACTCAAAATTACGACCGGAGATGTAATAAGACATCACATCTCGCATCATAGCCTGTAGAAATATTTCTATTTGTAGCGTAGTAGCGTATTTTATAAAGCTCGACAAATACACATATAAATAATTGAAATTGAATTTATTTATTTGAATAAACTCACTGAGAATTTCAATTTATTATAAGGGATCTTATTGATTTTATTTCAAATAAAAAAAATATTGGCTGACAATATTCTGAAGGGATGCATCACCCGCATCAATGGACGCTTCGCCACTGGGAATAAATAGATTTTATTACCTATTAGGAATCTTATAGACATAATGGGTCCTATGATTGAACGTTTACGTTATCCGTAACGTACATGTTAGGCCAAGTTTTAACAGTAATGAGGCAAGTTCGTATGATGGAAAACTTTTTCCAACACATTACTGTTATTTTCCGCTTATTATGTTCTAATTTAACAGTTTTCCATCACACAAACTTGCCTCGTTACTGTTAAAACTCTGTCTAACATATACGTTACGGATAACGTAAACGTTCAATCATAGAACCCCATGTGTCTGCTAACTGCTTTACTAAAGGTATGTCTGTTTTAAGCAATAGTAGTAATAAGGTAAAGGTATCTATGTAGGTATAGACTTTCATGATGAAGTTACAAAAAATAATAGACGTATAGTTTTAGTTTTTTATTTAACAATAACTTTAACTGACTTGTATAAAACCTTTAAACAATGTATAATTAATTACTTTTTAGCAAACAAAAATCAATTTAGCTTGATTCACAAGTACAAAATAGTCGAAGTAGTGTAGTTAGGCGGTCAATATTTTTAAGGAAACCCCTGAAATAGGTACTTTTGTAAAAATATTTTTTCCTCGATCATCAGCTCTTAAATCAGGTTAAAATTTGGTGCAGGCACCTAATCGGAGCTAATAAATTAAAACTTGCCTATTTAGAACATGTATAAAATATTTATCAAATAAAACAATTTAAATAATTTCTACAAAACTTAATGTACGGCTCTTCTTAGAGCCCTAGCCCTGACATTAGCTATAGTCCTAAAAACAATCCACCTAGACAATCTAGGAGAAATACTTTTCAGCACATTGATCGTGTCTACTAACACACTATGCGGGTAGTATCCTGTAGTTGATTCTACAACCCCAATGGTTTTGACAGCTTCTTGGACGTAAGTAAGCGGCGAGGGCGCCATCCACGTGGCTTTTCTTATCATAGACATATTAGTAGCTACATAACCAGGTAAAAGGCACTGAACAGTGATGCCAAACTTATTATATTCGTATCCTAAATCTTCAGAAAACTTAGCAACATAGGCTTTGGATGCTGCATAAACAGAAAGTAAAGGACTGGGAATCTGAGCTGCTGTAGACGAGATGTTAACAACTACACCTCGTCGACGTTCAGCCATTCCAGGCATTATTATTTTACACATATTTGTTACTGAGAATATATTGCAGTTTATTAAATTTGTAAAGAACTCATCTTTATTTTTCACGTCTAAGAAGTATTCTGGATGGTTGTAGCTCATTCCAACGTTGTTTATTAGAACACCGATATCCATACCGTTCAATTGTTTGTCTAGGTCATGGTATATTTGTTGTGTATCTGTGAAATCTGCTACCAGCGTTTTAAATTCTACTTCACTGTATTTCTGACCTAAAACAAAAATTTATTTCAATAAATACAATAGGCACTTAATATAAGAGTTACTTGTAAAAATTGGACCCTTAGAAAGAAAAATTGCGACTTATACCTTCCTAGGCCCATTGGGCATCTTCCTAAATTAATAGGCTCCTCTTAGCTCATCAACCAGCTTACAGATTAAATATAGTTGACAACGTCGCCAAGAGGTGCCTCTTTTATATCGGTCAGTGTTAACCAAAACTGGTCGATCACAAGTCTTCTAGTAACTGAGACCCTCGTGCAGTCATCTAGTATATGCTAGATAGTCTCATCTTCTAGTTCGTACACACGGCAGAGTGCGTATTCTGACAGCCCCATGATATGGAGATGTTTCCGTACTTGGCAATGACCAGTCAGAATGCCTGTGACTAGGCGCAGATTCTGTCTAATCATAGTCAACTATTTGTTTGCTGCAGCGTTGTCAGGTTAACTTACGAGCTCCATGGCAACTCTGCAGTTTCTTGTTTCATCCCATCTTTCCATGAATTTCACAAGGGAATATTCTTTAATTAGGTCTGTCACTACCGATTTTGTCAGGCCAATAGAAGGGCCAGGTCCAAAAAGTATTTGGTTGGCTGCTTTCTTAGCTAGTGAATCAGCAAGACGGTCACCTTTCGATGTGGCGTGACCTTTGATCCATCTTAAGGTGACCACATTGTTGATGGATACTTCGGCCAAAGCTTCGTGACATTCTAGTACTAATCCTGGTTACCTTTCAATGTGTCTATCATCTGTATAGATGACCGACCATGTTCCTTCTAGTGATATTGTTTTTGGTAATTTCTTTTGCTGCTATGTCTATTGTCTATTGCTCCGAGCCCATTTTATGTTTAGGTTTAAAGATGTGAATATATTCCACATATCCTGTGATTTGTTTTGTTTTAGAACCGTCGGTGTAGATATGAATTGTACCTGCCATTTCCAAATTTTATAACTCTTTATGACTTATGATATGCACCACTGTTCTATAAATTTGAGAGTCGTTATTGAGGCGACAGATGGGGGTGTTGAAGACCATATTCCACAGTAGAGGTGAAAGTACCCAGTGTCGGATTGGAACCTCTCTTAAGAGAGAGGAAAAAAGGTCCTCCTTGTACACTGATGCTTTTTCCGAGGTTGCCACGTATTACGAGGTTTCGTTGTATTTTGATTATTTCTTCTTCTCAAGAGCCCACTGACTGAACGAGGACCAACTGCCTGAACGAGGGCTCACTGCTTGAACGAGGGCCTACCGGTCTTTGGATCTGTAGACCAACGCGACAATCCGACACTGATAGTACCCCTCCGTGTGGACAACCAAGCATTTTATCCACTAACTAACTATGGAACATTTCCTGGGATTAGTATGAGTGTATTATCTTGGTTATCAAGCATGTTTCGTTTAATTGTCTTATTTTTAATCTTCAGTTTTTCTATGCCCCATTTTTAATCTGTTGTATCCATTGACAGGTAAAGTGCCAACAATGGATTAACATTTGAAATTGAAGTGCTAAATAGAAATAAGACAATAAAATCAATACATGTTTGATCTCTATGCTCCACCACTGAATTAGTTGTAGGCGTTTTGAACTATTTATACTCAAGATAAATTATATGGTTACCTAATTCTTTGGCTACTGCTTCAAGTTTCGATTGTGTCCTGCTGATAAGGACGACATTCAATCCTTTTTTGGCTAAAATTTCAGCATAAGCTTTTCCAATACCATCTGTAGCACCCGTTACAACTGAAATACAAAATAATAAAAATTATTAAATGTTCATGAAAAATAGATATTTTAAATAAGAGCCTATCTAGGCACAATACTGGAAATAAAGGTGTGGAAAATTCAAGACATGGCAGGAGATCCATTGTTATGCTAAAAGCACACCTTTGATCGTTTCTCCAGATTTTTTAAACCGTTAAAAATGTAGAATAAATTTTTCCCTCAAAGGTTTACCCATTTTTAAAAATTGAAAGAAGAAGAAGCAGTTCTTAAAGAGGTAAATGAAGCATTAAAATGTATATCACCAGGACTACCAGCATAAATATACAAATTAGGTGGTGATCGGCTATAACGCATCAAGTGTATTATAGAAATTATTAGTAAGCAAGAGCAAATACACTCATTGACTGGAAAAAAGTTATATGCGAGTCCCATTTTCTTTGAAGATTTCAAACAACGATTTATCGAAATCGACTATTGCACTAAAAAGATCTATTTTATATCATTCATCCTCCAAGCTCAAGAAAAAAATATTATCAAATAATTCTTTTCAAATAGTGAATTTATAATAGTACTTATTTTTTTGTGTTAGGCATACGACTAGTATATAAGTTAATATAATGGCAACAGGGACCGAACTAGTACATCAAATTGCTGTCTAGGAATTGTATGCAGACCAAAGATGTCTGGGTTGGAATCCCTGCGACGCGACAGGCTTTTTTCAAATCTCCAAGTATTTGTTTTCACCTTTGGGATTCGGTAATGGTCTTAATAATTCGTAGGGGATTTTGGATATGTTTCCAATTTTCAAAAATTTCTAATTCCTTTCACACTATTTTTTTTTTATATATTAGAATGTTTCATGGAAATAAAGAATATTAATAATTTTCGATATAGCTGACTTTTAGTGTACAATGTTTAAACAACATAATTATCCTTATCAGTCTCCTTCATTGGCATTTTTACTAATACCTGACCTTGCTTTGTCCGCTCTTATCATAATATTGTAGTACATTTAAAATTTTCATACAATAAATTTATGTAAAACATTTATTTCAAGTATAATTCGATAATATATCTGATACTGACCGATATATTGAAACATAACAATTTTATTCATTCCTGATAGAAACAGAACTAAGTTAATTAATTATGCATGTTAGACCCTACAGGTCAATGATAATTTATTTTTAATTTATGTACCTATGTACGTAATTCAATACAAAAATACAAAAGTCGACAATTTCTAAAATCATAGAAGAATTAGTGTAACTAAACAATTTTTTCTATTAATATTATTTGTTAAAAAATAAATATTATAGAATTTTAACAGGGAAACTGATATTTGCTGTCGTTGCATCCTGTTTATTATATCGTATTATAATTAAATGAAAACTATTATTATGTCCGGTAATACCAAATTTGTCAACCACAGAAAATACTTAATATTTTTTTTAATGAAAAATCAGGTACATAATAAACATGAAAAACAAGAGTTGATAATATTTCTGGTTCAATATAAATATTAAAATTAAATTAAAATCAATAAAAATGATCGTTATATTATAGATTCATTAAATGGTTGTTATATTTTTTAATTGCTTAGTAGAATCTGGTTTTGCTGATAAAAAGATTAGGTCTGTTTTCGATTTTAAAAAATTGTCAAAAAACCTGATTATCTCTAATTGTCCGAATTTAAAAACTCGTTTGTTTTTAATTAATGTCTGTCATACCCAAGTGTAGAAAATATCACAATGGAACAATAGAATGTTTTTTAACAATCTGAATAATTACAATAACTATATAATATATGTCAATTGGTTTCTATTTTAATTTTAACTTACTACATTTAAGCAAGGGCAAATTTAATTGATTTAAAATTCACTTAGAGAATGGGTAGTTCTTATAATGGTTGTGGATAAGATTCTTTCTGATAGAAAATCCTAATTCATTGAAATGAGGTATCACATGACCCTATATTTTCGCGACGAAAATGATTCTAAGACGCGAAGTGCTGTTTTATACAGAAACATTTTAGACCAACGCTCGATCGCATTAATTTTTGATAAAAAAAATACACCTTTCTATTATATCCTTTTACATCATTCACCTCCCCTCCGTTACTCTAATCAATACCATTTATAAATAGGGATAATATATCAATGACTATTCACTGCGTTGCTTTTAATTTTAGCGCCCTCTAGCGAGATAAAAAAATCTTCCTTATTGTAAAATGTGACACTTCATTTGTAAGTTAATTTTATTAGTAATTTAATGCATATTATTTTTTAGTTAACTGAAATTACAGTTTGTACTTCTTAATGTTAGAGCTCTGCAAGATTTTTCAATTATTTAAGTTCATAACTCATTCAATTATGTTTTTTTATATTGTGGATTAATTTATTAGAAAATTGGCTTTCAAATGAAGTGTCCACTTTACAATACCTATCCCGCTAGAGGTCGCTAAAATCTTTGACTTATGACAGTTGAGAATAAGATATAATAATGTTCCTCTTTAATCAAAACTATTTTCGCATGGACATCCTGTATATATTGTTCTACATCTACAATTAAATAATATTATACTCTTCACACAGGAAAAGGTTGGAAAATGGAATTAAAACCTCCAGAACTCCTAAACACAAAACTAAACTTTGCAACAGAGGTGTAGTACCTAGGTCTCACCTTTGACAGCAAGTTAACATGGAACTCGCATTTAGAAAACAGAGTTAAAAGAGCATACATTGCTTATGAACAATACCGCCGAACCGTGGGGCGCACCTGGGGTTTCTCCCCCATAGTCGTCGCATGGACTTACACGACTATCATAAGACCTATGCTAACATACGGTGCAGTTGTCTGGGTACCGAAAACTCAAAAATTAACAGCTATCCGTAAACTAGAACAAATTCAAAGAACAGCATGTCTCAACATAACAGGAGCCTTGAAAACAACACCGACTAGAGCCATGGAAGTCATTCTTAGTCTCACTCCCCTTGATATTTACATCAAGGAGGTTGCTCTGACGATAATGACACGCCTCCGCACGGTCTGAATAGAACCTGATGAAGGATCTGGTGAGGCGAGACGTCACTTTTGGCAGGAGGCGCTGGATACGCTCCCACTGCTTCAAGCGAACATGGACTCCATCTTACCAAAATATATCTTTCATAAGCCATATAAATTTATAATAGAACAAATAGAAGAGCCAGAAGTGGCAGGTACGATTCATATCTACACCGACTGTTCTAAAACAAAACAAGGCTCAGGATGTGGAATATACTCTAGATTGTTAAACCTAAACATAAAATTGGCTGTGGGCAATAGTGCCAGTGTAGTTCAAACACAGCTAACAGGAATTCTCATAGCAGCAAAAGAAATAACCAGCAACAATATCACTGGAAGGAACATTTATATAAATAGCAGACAAGCACTACTCACCCTGAACAGACCACGAATTTATTCAGGGTTAGTACTAGAATGTCACGAAGCTTTGGCCGAAGTATCCATCAACAACGTGGTCACCTTAAGATGGATTAAAGGTCACGCCACATCGAAAGGTAACCGTCTTGCTGATTCACTAGCCAAGAAAGCAGCCAACCAAATACTTTTTGGACCTGGCCCTTCTATTGGCCTGACAAAATTGGTAGTGACAGGCCTAATCAAAGAACATTCCCTTGTGAAATTCAAGGAAAGATGGGATGAAACAAGAAACTGCAGAGTTGCCAGGGAGCTCTTAAGTTATCCTAACAACACTGCAGCAAACAAATACTTGACTATGACTAGACAGAATCTGCGTCTAGTCACAGGCATTCTGACTGGTCATTGCCAAGTACGAAAGCATCTCCATATCATGAGGCTGTCAGAATCCGCACTCTGCAGAGGGTGCGAACAAGAAGATGAGACCATCGAGCATATCCTTTACAATTGCTCGACGCTCTCATTTATTAGAAGATTTGTATTCGGCGAGTATCGGCCGATATAAGAGAAGCACCTCTTGGCGACGTTGTCAACAACATTAAATCTGTAGGCTGGCTCACGAGCTAGGAGGTGCCTATCTTTTCAGGAGGATGCACAATGGGCCTAGTGAGGCCTAGGTGCCGTAGAGTAACCCGCCCTCCACACATTACAGATACAGATACTTTTCACACAGTAGTCTATGAAGAGTATTGTAGGTTCTCTTTGTCCGTCCCTCCGATGTCACTTTTTTATCTGTACGATAAGTCAAAAACGAAAAATGATATCAACTTTAAATTTTTAGCAAAAATCAAGCTCTATAAGGGGAAGACGCCCTTTGATATTGAAAAAAAAAATCAAAAATGGGGGATTTAAGGGGGGTTGAAATTAAAAAAAAATCATTAATCATAAATAAAAGCGATATCAACGAAATTTTTATTAAAAATTAAAATCTATAAGGAGAAGAAAGCCTATTGATTCTGAAAAAAATTTGAATACAATTGGGGGGTTAAAAGGGGATGAACTATTGAAAAAAATCCTAACTCAGTAACAAAAAGTGATATCAAATTGAAATCTTCAGGAAAATCAAGCTTTATAGGGGGATGAAATGTTTTACAATGCATCAAAATTTTCATCATAAATGTTTAAGTCATGTTTTTCGCACATATTTCAAAACTAACGAACTCGATCTAAATTTCAATGTCATATTTTAGTACCCCAAAAAAAAAACACTTGTGGTTTAATTTTTGTCAGCAATTTTTTTAAAGATAATAAAAAACTAGCATAAAAATGAGCTTTTAACGACATTAATAAACTACAATTTTTTTTTGAAATAGGATATCCTTAGTAGATTAGATTGTAATTTATAAGACATTTGTTGCATTGTAAACGAAAAAATAATGTTGTTATATAAATAGAATCTAAATTTTATACAAGGACCGGAAGTCGGTTCGAAATAACTTCGAAATATTCATAAAGTAATAAAATTCTTTTTTTAATAATATTGGTTATGGCTACATTAATAAGTTTAATATTAATTGAAATCTTTCTGTTATGAGATATATGTACATTTATTTGTAAACTATGGCCCCTGTTCCACCCGCTATTGAGTGGTGTAGAAATTAATAAATGCAATAAATAAAAAAATTGAGAAATGCGTTATTAAAAAATGTCCGGGTTATCCAACAAAATTCATAATTTTGGGAATAATTAAAAATGGGTAGAAAAGTGTGTTAAAAAAATTGAAAATCTACTTACCAGCCCATTTTCCAGCATCTTTAAGATTGACAGCATTGATTTGGAGGGCAGTTGCCAAAAAATTATTATAAATGTAGGTAAACAGAAACCGAACAATTTGAAAACCCACTATAAAAGTACAAATCAGAGCTAACTTGTTAACTAAGCAGATTCCTTCGTTTTCCATAATCGAAAGCAATCAGTGCTTGGTGCATAAAAATACCTACACTAGGTACTTATTGTTTAAATAATTTGAATAGCCCACTCGGACGATAGCAATTGTTAATTCGTATAACAATTTCGTTTTAATTCACGTAAGGCGACGCGTGCGTACTACGCTTTCAGCCCCTTTCTACCATTCATCGATTTGGAGAAATTTCGTTAGTACGGTCAATGTCTCAAAAGTTTCGGACGCGGTCAAAGTTTTTCACCTGCGATAGCGTAGAGATTTACTTTCTCCTTTTAAATGGTGATTTTGTAATCGCTACAAAAGATTTAATTCATATTACATCACTAACTGAGCGTATCAACTAATAATATATACATTTAATTTTTTTAATAAGTTATATATTTTCTTAAATAAGATCAGCAAGGGATATTTTATGAGTGTCGATCATAACTTATTCAAAAGTGTTTCATTTATTTATGAAAAGTTAATTTTCAGCAAAGAATTAAAAAAAAATGGTAAAGTGTTACCCCCTACTAACTTATTCTGTAGAGTAAAATATTCGAAACAAATCTCGCCTAGGTTCATTTTAATTTCTGGTGAAATACAATACAAATTGTATAGTAATTTCACCCCTTGTGCAGGGTAGCTACCCCTTGAACATTTCAAATGTGATGGGATGGATCATTTGTGTTTTTAATTCTTTATAATTTTAAATTTCAAATGTAATGTACTGATATTAAAGTAAACTGGAACTAAAAATCCAAAACCGTATCTGAAATATTTTAATTACATTAAAGAATGCGTTTTTTCTTTTTTTAGTTTCTAGTTATAAGAATATCAAAAACTGTCATCAGTTTTTTAATACAAGGTTTTGTTACGTCAGTGCCATCATCATTATTTTTTAAATACGGACCTGGATATTTTTTTAAGAAATCGTTTCTAATATAGATACAGTATGTCTACGTAAGATGACTACATATGGAAAACTTTTTTATTATTAGTTTTATCAAAAAAATTATTCTTTATAAAAAATTGTGAATGTTCTAAAACTTAGAATACAACCATCATATATCAAATTTTATGAGTCGTATACGAGGTTTGTCAAAAAAATGATTCATTTTTAGTTAAACTAATAACAGAATGACATGACTAGGTTGATATTCATTGATATTATTACCTATATAATTTTAAATTGTGGTTATGGCTGGGGGGTTGCGACATAGGCCCAATATATGTATGAAAAGGTCACTGAGGGAAGGGAGAAAATAGTAATCAGCTTAAACTGGCAACACTTTTCTGATGTTCGTTTGCTGAATACCACAATTTTCTGTGTCCTACAATAATATTTTAAATACAGCGAAATATCTACTTTTTAGACGATGTGGTACAAGTGGAATGAACAGTGGAATGAACATACTCGTAAAATTGTGGGCTAAAAGTTATTGTCAAAAAATTGTGGCAATTCCAGTCGTAATTGTTGCAGAAAAGTAAACTTCCAGACATTTCCATTTGGGAGTATTAGACAAAAATGGATAGAGTTTGCGGCTTAGGGAGTCACAATTTCTTCTGCATCACCGTGCGTTACCGTTTCAATGATGGTGGGGGGAGGTTTCAGGATTGTTCTCACCTGTTATTAATGTATTACATATGGGTTACAAATAACAGGTTCATTTTAATTATTTATGAATTTTTGATTTTAAAATACCCAACTTTCTTCCCATTTAACCGCGTCTCTGCTTTATGAGATCTCAAAAGTGTCACTGTAAAATAATGTATTGACTGTAAACATAATAATATACTACTTAAATAATCATTTAATAATTTAATTAAATCACAAATTAATGAATCAAATTTAAAATAATTTAATTGAATAGAGAATTAAAAACTCTTTCAAATGAGTTGTCAGTCGACCACTGTGCAAGTAGTTGAAATTGGGGAAAAAATTTATTGTTGAAAATAAAAATCGATCGATCCAAACATTTTCTCTAATATTTTACTGTACAGAAAGAGCAAGGGATAACACTTTATGTTCGCACCATATGTTCTTTTAAAGTGCTGAGATCATTTTGATCCACGTCTTGTGTTGGAGAGAATTTGATGTCTTATTTTAATTTGGTTCTTTAAAAAATAAGGTTTATGCAATCAAAGTAGGTACCTACTTTAATAATATAAAAATTTCAAAATGTCTTATGATGGTACGAACACCTAACCATTAAATATAAGTATTTCTATTTCAAATTTTGCGTGAAAGTCACTAAAATATCAAAATAAAAGTGACCATTTATTTTTTTTTTGTTTTATCGCCCTATTTATTCCTATATGTTTCCTTTCCAAAAAATATGAAATGACAAGATGAAAACAATTTCCAAAAGTTAGCCCCTATATATAGTTGAGTTCTTTGTATTGCAGCAAAATTCTAGTATTTAATTATTTTTGAATGTTGAGTATCAATGTTATATTATGTTTTAAGACAATATTATAAAATGTTTAGCACTGTTAATGGAACAATAAGAGAGTGAAACATATTTTTTCAATTATTAAGTAGATTAACAATATATTATCGAATATTTTGAAACAATTTCAATTAAAATACAGAAATACACTATTGTTTAGTTTTGGTGTTCGGTTTAGATTTAGAAATAAATGGCTAAAATTAAATATTTACAGAAATATAATCGAATTTATTGTGGTCCGAAAGTTTTGAGACATTTACCGTACTAAACGAAGCACTGTTCCTATTCTTGCACGCCGAACTTTCACTGCATCCACATCTCTCAAATTTCCTTCACTACTTGAGCAATTAGTAATAAATAATATGAAATGCATACACCGAGGATCACTCAACAGAAACCAAATTTATAGAATTTTGAACTACGTTATTGGAACTTCAAACTCCTTATCTGCTTCACATACATAATTCTTATCAGTACCTATGTCATAAATCGAAAATTGAGTAGGTATTAATGTTCGTATTTTGCGATCTATTACAGGATGTCCAAATAAATTAATTCTCAGCAGATTAAATTTTCCTTGCATAGAAATGAAAAATATGATAATGGAAGCAAAAAATATAATAATTCCATTATACTCTACTTATTTGCGGTTTATAAAAATAAATTAATAAGAGACTGGAGGAATTTGTTGGAAGATGGAATATTAAAAAAAGTTATTATTATACATAAAAATATTCAGGGAAAAGTACCGCATTAATAGAAATTTAATGTAAATAGAAAATAATACTCTTCAATAATTACCTACACGTTTTAAATTAAACCACAGTAACTTTCCAGCCCATCTGCATAAAAGTCTATCAGCTACTGGAAAAAATGGTCTTGCTTATGCTTATACCTATGCCATAAAGTCGGGCGAGATGCAATTTTTTTCAGTTTTTTCCTTAGATAACAAGCTGATCTGGATATCGAAATGTGTAGCTTTATGGTTTAAGTCAAATTAAACAATTTTTTTGTTTTTCTTTTTTTTCTAGAAAACCCCCAATTGATAAAAATATGTAGGATATAAATTAAATGACTCAATGGAATGACATTTGTATTATAGCCATTGGATGTAAATAATTTTTTTTAAGATTAATTGTTTCTCTTCTTTTTTCTACTTCGACAGTACTGAATTAAATAGTTATAAAGAAGAAATTAGGATCTACAAAAAAAATCATGTGGATACGACTCGTATTAACGAAGTAGTTGCGTTTTCAAAATCTTTGCGTTCGGCGGGCAGACCAATTTTTTTTATTGAAGATTTGCCTTATAATCAAACTTGTGTAGTCACTAAAATATTTTAACACAAAAGGAGGGAGACAATACAATGTTTACTTTATAACACTGTCTTGGTGACATAATTATTAATATTTTTATTATTATAGTGTATTATATAGTATATTATTATTATATTATTATTATTATATTATTATTATTATTATATAGTATTATAGAGCTGTATGGCTACTGCCCCCCCAGTGCCCCCAGTAAATGAAAATGTATTATTTTATCTACTGATATTATTACTTAGTGGCGTAGCCACGGGTGTTTTGGTGGTCACACCCCCTGAGCCTTCGCGTTACCACTATCTTATTGGCTATCTTATTGGTGCTGATCGCTATAACTATTTTTAACCCCCCCCCCATAGGTCACAGAAACCCCTCCCATCAAAAATTTCTGGATACGCCACTGCTATTACTCATGGAACTTTTACATCCAAGAGGGCTTCGAAAATTTCCTCCATGCTTATTATGTGTATGCAGTGAACCTCTTTATTATCTTTGCGTACCATCGGATTATTTTAGGATTACGTAATTCTTCGAATAATTCAGTGATCTACAAAATGGACGTATCAATGTATGAAACTATAAAATCATTTAAAATTAAATAAACTAGTGTTGACCCAGAGATTCGACCATAATCATTATTGAAAATTTGAAGAAAACATATACGGAGTGGCCCAAAAGTCTGGAAACGGCCAATTATCTCGTAAATTGCTAGTCCTAGTTTTACAAAATTTTGGGTACACCTATTAGGGGATACGGAGATTCCAGATTTGATATTTACAATGATCCCAGATTTGCCATTTCTCTTATATTATTAGTCACTTTGGTTTTTCAAATTCGCCAACCTCTATCCGTCCATGTAATATTTTCTATTACGGTTCGAAATTAAAGGGTGCTCATGTTCGTTATAGGCTAATTTCATTAGGAATCGGTCATTAAGGAGTTAAAGGAGCTTGGCAGACCTGACGCAATGAGTAGAGTATATAAATAAAGAGGAGCATGGGAATAATATGCTTTATGTAGTTATCCTTCATCCATGATGTAGTTATCGCTCTTCTGTCAAGTCGTGAAGGCCCAAATATTAAATAGTGGCTAAACTTCTTACATAGTTAAAGACCACTATTTACTTCTGTGAAGAGATTCGAAATGAAGTTAGTTACAATTATTGACGTTTCTGACTGACGTTTCAAGTATTTACCACGGTGTATTTACATATTTTATTTAAAAAGATGTTGAGTTGTCAAAAAATGTAATATAATAATTTTAAGATACCTGCGATCTTAAAACATAAAGATGAACCTATGACACAAAGGATTTTCATTAATTATAGATAAGAGGAATTTATAGGAAGATAAGCATTTTGTATATACAAATGAGTGACCAAAAACATTACATATCATTTTAATATATTTTGTAATTGCTTTTATGAATCATTTATAAATTAGGTAAGTTAAAATATAATCTTAGAATAAATAGTAAATTTGAACGTTTACATTTTTAGTGTAGAAGATGGAGAATGGGCATAACAGCCGGGATCGAAATAAAGACATTAACTGGTCCAGATTTGGTTTGGGCAATGAAGCTGTTGGAACAAGAGCAAATACAAGTGGATTTGTTGATTTATCAACTGATTATGGTGTTGGAGGGCATCAGGCATCTGGAGCAAATGAACTGTTTGCGGAAGAACAGGTAAATATCTGTTTTTAAAAGTATTTACTGTGGACTAACAATATGGTTCAGTTTAAAATGAAACAAATCATATCTACATGGTTTCTAAGGTAATCCTGGTTTAATTTGAAGATTAAATTATTGGTATTTTGCTTCAGGGAGACGTGCCTTGGTGGAAATCTAATTTTTTCATATCCCAGCCGGTGTTGTTTGGGACATGGGATGGTGTGTTCACTTCATGCTTGATTAACATATTTGGGGTCATTGTGTTCCTAAGATCAGGATGGATAGTTAGTCAAGCTGGAGTTTGTAGTGCAATTATTATTGTTTTATTTTCAGGTAGATACACTGCTTTATTATTATATTTTTACTGGTGGAGAGAGTTATTTTGCATCTGGGTGTTTTAAATATTTATTATTAAAGAGCATTAATAGTAATAATGGTGGCAGGCATAGAAACGGTTATGGTTCAATTTGATTACTGTTGTGTTTTATGTCAGAATAGAATAATAAAAAAAGTACAAGTAACAGCAAAATCTATATACAAATCAATGTATAATTTTAATAACTACAATCAACTAACAGATTTTAAAATATAGACAGAGGGAGAAATAGAAAAACATTTTATACTACACATAAATAATTCATTTAAACATTTTTTAGTGATGACTTCATTAATTTCTGTGTTATCCGCTGTTGGTATATGTGAAAGATGCAGAATTGAAAGTGGAGGAGTTTATTTTGTGATAGCACATACTTTAGGATCAAGATTTGGTGGCTCACTTGGGTTGTTATACTGTTTTGGACAGGTAAGTTATATATTTATGTTTGTAAACATATCTAAATTTTGAAAAATCTGTAAGAGAACATACAAAAATGCATCTAACTTTTCCATTTGGAATAAAAAGCTGGAAGAGACCTGTATGTTTTCCTAATTTTCTTTAAATGCCTTTATCTTCAGTACATTTGAAGATATCTCAACAAACCCATAGGGTTTTCATCAAATATACTCATCATGCAAGAGGCCATATGGAAGAAAACGCTGGTGCATTTAAAATTGGCAGTAAAAAGTACTCTAAAAATTATTAGCCATGTCAAGATCCGTTTTTGCCTTATTCTAGTGTACAGAATAAAGCAAAGCATTAGTTTTATGCACCAAAATTACTGGTTTTTAAGATTAAATTAATATTAAAAAATGAAAAAACAAAAATGCAATATTTATAAATGTATTATGCATTTAAAAACTGTATTATGTTTTTAAAAACTGTATTATATATTTAAAAACTGTGTAATGTATGAAGTAGCTGACTATCAGGCTGCTAAATATTCTAGAATACAGCATTGCACCCCTTGTTCCATATGTCAAGTGACCATGTTTCCTATTCTACACACCCACAATAATCAATTTTCATAATGTCATGAACAGTTACTGCATTACTTTGTTATAGTATTGTGTTTTTGCAAACATAATGCATCCATCTCTACTTGGCTTCATGCCATGACCAAAGAGTAGAAATAAGAGAGTACAGTCAGAGTGAGAAACTACAATCAAGAGAATTAAAGCTACACTCTGATTTAAAGGGATTTTAAATGTATTACATAAGTAGTATGTTGTCATAAAATGATTCTAATACAGTTACATTTTACGTTTCAACTACTAATCGAGGAGATTTTATTTGTAAGGTGAATTTTTATTAACAAAATTGAAAATTTTATGTTTTATGATGTAGAATGTGATACATTTATAAAAATTTCGCACGTCAATGGAGTATCGGTCCATCCACATTTCAGATGGTCGGCGCCAGCATTTGTCCAAATGTAAAAACTCTTTTATTGTATTCATCAAATTGAAAGGTATATTATTTGACCCTAGTGCCATTTTAGTCATTCACGAGAGGTGATATTTTACTGTATGAATGTAGTGTCTCATTTTGGTATTTTTTGCTATGAACTTCGCCTTATAGGAACAACAAAATTTCAAATTTCTCATCAGTCATGGGTGTAAAGGTGGCATTCCTTATAATCGATTTTTCAAAAAATTAATGATAATGTTTAACATGTTACTTTGCAGCAAAAGTAATGATAAAGTAACACTTTTTTTAATAATGACTCAGGTCTACTCCAGCCTATAGTTTTTAAATGAGGAAGTAAATATTTTAATTTCTTTTTAGGCTGTAGGTTGTGCATTGAACGTCCTGGGTTTTGGAGAATCCATGGCTGAACTGATAGGACTAGGAGACTCAAAATGGACAGTCCGAGTGATTGCCATGGCAGCTGTGCTTCTACTGAGTGTTATTAATGTAGCAGGAGTGAAATGGGTCATTAAATTGCAGTTTATTTTGTTGCTAATTTTACTTTCTGCCGGACTTGACTTTATGGTTGGCAGCTTTGTACATACTGAAGATGGTAAAGTCAATTTATTAACAGTTTAGTTCAAGCGATTGCATTTAATCACCAGATTTTCTTGAATTTCAAAAAAATATTTCTAGTTTTGAAGATGATAGAATTTTGATTGTAGATAGAAGATATTCTTTTTATCCAACTTTTAAACAATTATTGTTTTTAGATAAAGGATTTAATGGTTGGGTCAGCAACAACATGATGAATAACATGTGGTCAAATTACACAGAAGGTTACAGTTGGTTCACTATCTTTGGAGTGTTTTTCCCAACCATAACTGGGGTCTTGTCAGGAATAAACATGAGTGGAGACCTAAAGGCCCCATCAACGAACATCCCCAACGGTACTTTAGCTGCAATAGGCACTGCAACATTTCTCTACCTCGTTTTTGTAATATTTTTGGGAGCCACCTGCACCAGAGCAGTCCTCCTAAATAACTTCATGATTGCTAAAGAAGTTTCAGTTATTGGAGTGCTGTTTTTGGCTGGATTGTACGTGTCATCCATGTCAAGCTGTTTGGGGGCTATGTATGGCACACCAAGAGTGCTGCAGTCTATTGCTCTTGAAAATGTTATACCTGGGATCGGCGCCTTAGGAAGAGGAGTAAGTACCACCTTGTCATTTCTGGCCTCAAAATTAAGTTGTGCATGTATTTTCAGAGAGGCCCTAACAAAGTGCCTTTATATTCGATGGCGGTAGTAGCAATTGTAACTTTTGCCTTCATTTTCATTGGAGAGATAAATACATTGGCTCCGATTGTAACAATGCCTTTTCTGCTGACTTATGCAGCTATAGACTATGCCTATTTTGCCTTAGCACAAACTTTTGATATTCAGCACCAAAGAGAACAAAGATTTCATCGACCCAAAGTCCAGTATAGCAGTGACGACAGCGATTTGGATAGGCTGTTTCCTGAACGTACAAGGCACAAAATTTTAAGGGTAAGTTTCATACATTTAAGCAATATCTCCGTAAGTTATTTAGCCTAATTAATCTATATTGATACATCGCTAGACAAATGATTACTATGAAGGTAACATAATTTTTTTATGGTATTTTAGGGAGATTCCAGTTCAAACTCTGTCAGTAGCCCAGAAGATAACAGTGAACAGATGCCTATAACACCAAAAATTAACATACATTCTAAACAGAAAAATTGGTACTCCAATTTATGCAACAGATGGCTCTCACTATTTGGAGTAAGTAACAATGTGATCCACAAAAAATGCTTTTAAAGAAGGCCATTACCAAGAAAACCAAATCAAATTTAAATTGTTATTTAAAAATAATAAGAATTTTATGATCCAACATGTGTGAAACATTTTTTGTGAATGACTCCATACATTCTTGATAAATACTGTCTAAAAATAAATCTGTACTAATATTTTTTGCCATTTCTAAAAATCCACAAGCAAATACATTAAAAATTAAATTTCTATTTTTGTTTTAGGCCGCTTTGAAGATTTGTATAATGCTGTTAGTGAATTGGTACTACGCCCTAGCTTGTATCAGCGTGGTATTTTTGGTTTGGTTGTACATAGGAACCGCGAATCCAGCTGTCAAGCCAGGCCTGGGATCAGAATTTCGCTTTTTGCCGTGGATTAAGTCTCTTATTCTTAGGCTGTTAGGGTAAGTTAATTTAATTAGGCATTCCAAACAAAATGGTTCCCCGCGTAGGCATTGATATGGCAACCTTGAGGGCCTGGTGGATTTGACAGGCTTCCATGTTTTTAAAATAAACAAGCTCATGCTTTAAGTAAAAATGTAGATAATTATTTCTTTCCTATATACAAAGGCTGAAAATTGATTTTAAAACACATTTCTGAGTATTGGACAATTGCGAAGCAATATGGTCGCTCGCAACGATACCCGTTTTGGGCAATATATATATAAAACGATATATCATTGATCCTGTCAAAGCCAACAGGCCCACAGGTTTGCCATATGGTCATGGGCAGCATTTTGACAGGTCGTTGGAATGCCTAATAGACATAAAATCGACTAGGTGTAACTTAAACTGTTAAAAATCTAAGAAGGATTAAGCTGCTCCATTCCAAAACACAATTTATGAAAAAAATGTGTTGTGTTTTTTGGCCTCAAATGTTTATTTAATATATTCGCTAAATATTTTGGAAACAAGTTGTTTCGTTATAGATGTTTTTTATATTTGTGATTTGGCACATACTCGGGTTTGATGTGGATTATGAGAGTGTATAGTAATAAAATTGAAATATTAAACATAAAAAAGGTAACTCAATACAAAACAATTAACAAGATTCAAGATAAGTACGTACTAAATACTAAACCAAGACATATTCTGATTCCAACTCAATACAAAATATACCAAACTATGTATAATAATAATAATAATAAAAGTTTATTTGAAAAATGTACAAAAAATTAAATATAATAAATTTTTTTTTTAAATACATTTTTTTTTAATAATATAAATATTTTTTTTTTTTTTTTTTTTTTTTTAGGTACATACAAATAAACTACCCATTGCCACAAAGTATAAAAACTGTCCGTGGCGTGTGTAGAGATATGTTAAGTACTATTTTATGTTTTATTTTACAATTAATTAATATAATACAAATACTGACATATAATAATAATAATAGATTTGCCGCTTTTTTTTTAATTTTCATTATTTTTTATTTTTTATTTTATTTATTTTTTTTTTAATAAATTTTTTTATTCTTTTTTTTATTTTTCATTTATCTATCGATTGTATGTATTCTTATATTTGTTATTATAATAGTTTTCCACCAACTTCAGTGCAGAATCACTTTCAACGAGTTTATATCAGAAATATATTCTGTTTGTAGGTATTAAAGGCCCTAGAACTATTCGAATTTTTTTATTTTTGGATTTAAATACCCCACGGATAGGGAGAACTTCAGGCTTACTTTGAAAGTTAAATTTCTTTAGTAAATTAAGAATTTTAAAATCACATAGTTTGGCTGATCTAAATCAGTTTTTTGTTCTAAACATGTTTTGCTTTTTAAAGCAAACTTGGACTAAAGTACCAAGCACAAAACCATTAATAAAATCATGTACCTTTTTTTAACTTGCCTCTTTCTTTTTCCCACTTACGGAAAACAGGTACATAAAGAACCTGAAGACCTTTAAGATCGTCATAGTCATATACATTACCAATCTTTGATGTTTTACGCTTCCGTGGACGTCATTAGCGCTTATATGAATGTGTAAGGTAGTGCATAGTTACAGAATCTGGTCCAGTTTCTTGATTTACAAGACATATTAAGGCAGTGAAAAGAATCGAGTTTTTATTATAACCTGTATAATTGTCAGACCATATAATAAATTCTTTAACATCTTCTGAAAGACTTTAAATTTTCCAATCGATTAAATTATTGTCGTTGCGCCTTGCTACGCCTTCACGCCAGATAGTCTTGTCAATAAAAACAATAAACTGCCCTTAAGTATAATAAAGATCGAATCATATAAGCACAGGGCGTAGGTAAACAAAACCACTCACTGACTTTCGCATAACAGTAGTTGTTATACTATAATAGGTGCCCTAAAAGGCACTATTGCACGCAGGCAACTTAGGCAACCAGTAAAGCAGATTTGCGACTGTCAGTCATGAATATTCGATACAGATTTTGTGTAGGCATTTAATAAGTACCTATAAAATGAGAGTAGAAAGAAAATATTATGCCATGAGAAATTTTTAATAATAGCCAATATATTTTTTCCTAATAAATAAAATCATTTCAAGCAGGTATGGTGTAAGTTAGAAATAGAAAAAAAAATTGATACCGAACATGATTTAATGTGAAAAACCTGCAATTTCAATTACACCTAGCAAGAAGAAATTGCAAGAAATTTGCTAAGGATGTGAGTTTTTTTTGAATACAAGTACATAAATAAATATAACAAAAAAATACAATATTAGAAATAACTGACTGAAGGTGAAAAATTGCAACATAATCACTTGCAAAAACATAGGAAAATCTGAATAATTCAATTATTTGTCGATTATGGTGTTTAAAAACACTTATGCCAACACCAAGGTATACACTTTAAAAAAAATGTTCTTAAACAAAAGTTGTATGGGCTCAGATATCGTGAACATGCAATATTTAAAATGCACGTTCTGTATTTTACAGAAGAGAAAAAAACAAATCATAGTTTTGTCAACTTCGGCGCATCCCCGACAATATTACTCACACATCTGCTTTACTGGTTGCCTACGTTGTCTGCGTGCCAAGGATGCTTGAGAGTCAAGTATGCTTGCTGCATGCAATGTGCAATAATGGCGCCTTACTATAATAAAGTTTATTTTTTACCTTGCAGAGCAGATATTACCCATTAACTAAACTAGACATCTGGTTAATACCCTGATTTGTGTTCATTTTTTTTAGACCTGTCAAATGTCAAAACATCTGATATAATATACTCTGATTCGGTAATGTTCAAAGCATGTACTTTGTTTTGGGATGGGGAAAAAGTTGTAGGGTTTCTAGCAAGGGAAATCATAAAATACTAAAGATATTTACAAATTTCTAAGGAGGTAAAGTTTAAAATGACATTTTTACATTAACAATGTCATTTTAATCTCCGTTTAACACAACGGTGGAATCGGCTCTTAACACACTGATGCATAAAACATATTTTTGAAAAAATTGTTGATTATTGTGTTTTGGCATGGAGCAGCCTTATTATCGCGCCTGTACATCAAGATAAAATAAAGTAGAGACGACATAAACACTATTTTGCAATATGACAGGACGTACTTCGAATAATGGAAAAGTGTAAACAAAATGGCGACTTAGCATATTTTTATTTATTTGAAATCAATCATTTTATAAATAAAAATAGCATTTATTCTCACCAAAACTGACTTGCTCCACTAACTCGAGTTTGATATATGACGTAAAAGTGTAATGCAAAGGTGTGGACACTTTCAGTATCGTCATAGCATTTCCTCCTTATTCTATATCAATGCGTCGAGTTCACGTATGACGTAGTGTGGTGTAACGGCAATGAGCAGATTAAAATTTATTTTCGCGCTCAGTTTTCGATCAGTTAATAACTTAAATTCGTAAAATCCACATCTCCGTACCTCAATACGTCACTGTCAATCTGTGTAATATTATACCTTCCTTTTATAGTATCATGACTATTTAATGTAAGGGACAATCGTTTATGTCGTATGTAGATCATATTAAAAGCCTTGCTTCGTATATTTAAGCAAGTTTCTCTATCCTACAGAATGTAAAATTATGATTTTTGTTCAATAAATTATCTCTGCTATTTGTGACCACCCTCTCACAAATTCACTTCTGCTGTTATTAACATTATTAGTAAGTTTTAAAATTGTCTTGGAAATAAATAACCGTATCGCAGGTGATGTCATGGGAGTCTAAATCTGATTACTTCGAGTTTACGAATCGGACATCAACACGTATGTGTGAGGTGGCTCAAATCAATTTTTTTATTTCTTAGCTTTTTCAATTTTTCTTTGATTTGTTTTCACTTTGGTAATATGAGGGTGTAATTTTCATAATTTCGTAGTGGGAATTTGGGATTTTTCATTTTCACAATTTCCAAATCTGATCTCATTTTTATTACTACAGTTTTTCTTTTCGACTTTTTCTGAATACTTTATCAAACGTCGGTGTTTTTTTTCAGGCGAAGGGTTACGGATTACGAACAAATTGTAGTCACCCCTGTCCATCCCGGAATGGACGTAACTTCATCGCAGTTAAACGAAGACAACCAAGATTTCGCAAACAGAAGACGTTATCACCAATCAGCTACCGTCCATGGTCACATAGTCGCTATTGACGATTGAAGAAGACCAGCAATACGATTTTGAGGTTAAGTGAAGTTTTCATCTGTAAAATTGTTTTCTGATTACTATTATTTACATGTTTTAACTTAATTACTAATTTTGATGTATAGCCATGGCTGTATAATTGTAACATGTAAAATTATTTCTTTGATCAAATTTGTGAACAAGAATTTAGTGATGGGTTTTATGATTCTGGGGTCTCTGTATTCAAAATAGAGCTAAAATATCAAAATTTTAATAAAGCAATAGCAATGGAATATGCAATATTTACAAGGCTTATTCGTAACTGCAGATGAAACTAATTCTTCAAAAATCACTGAAGAAATACACTAGTGGAAAAAAATTAAGGGATAAAAAAAATCTCGATTTTTGCGATTTTTCGAGTGGCTGTATCTTTGGTAAAAATGGTCGTACGTGAATGAAAAAAACAAGCAATTTGAATCTTGAAGTGTCTAGTTTATAAATCTTGCGATAAAAAATTTTCCAACCAACAATTAGCACAAAATCCTGATGAATATCATGGATAGAAAAACGCAATCCTTCAATTTCTTCAAAAATTCACTTGCATGAAACAATAAAACGGCTTGATGGATCAGGTTGAAATTTAATAGGGCTTTCGGGGGAACAATGGCCTGTAAGATGCACACTCAACATTATTCATTTTCTCAATATTCTCAATGTGGCACGTGATTTTCTAAAAAACCTCAAAAAGACCTGTTTTCTGAAATTCTTCAGTCATGCTAGGGATGAAAAAAAAATTTTCTCGTGAAAGAACATGCCAGAACCTTGTAGAGAATGAATCGAAGTTTACGAAACCCGCCTTCCATTTTCTGAGTGGCCATTGGTTCCTGAGATATTGACGAGAGAAAGGAAATGACGCATTTTTGTTCATTTTCTGATAACTCGGCAAGGAAGGGTCATCTCGAGGCCATCGAAAAAAGGAATTGAAGCTAATTGAACCACCTATCTAATGCATATAGTGGTTATGTCGAGAACATTTATTTAAAGTCCGTACACTAAAAAAAAAAAAAATTCAAAAATTTTCTATCCATGATATTCATCAGGATTTTGTACTAATTGTTAGTTGAAACAAATTTTTATCGCAATATCCCTAAACAAGACACTTCAAGCTTCAAATTTCTTTTTTTCATTCACGTACAACCATTTTTACCAAAGATACAGCCACTCGAAAAAGCGCAAAAATCCAGATTTTGTTTTGATCCCTTAATTTTTTCCACTAGTGTATTAAATTTTATGTATATAAGTGGGGTTATTTGATGTCAGATGTCGGCGGTAATGACATTACAAGTTGACGTAAAAATTTACAAATGCCTGTAAAAATGGTATCATTAATAGCGGGAACAGGAAAAATAAAACACTGATGTACTTTTGAAACTAAAATCTACAATAAAATTCGCCGTCTACCTCTTTTTACCAAGGGGGCGAATTTTATCAGTACATTTGTCGATTCTACGTCAAAATATTTCATTTAGACACACTCCGTCCCTGGTTGTTAAACCAGAAATATCAAGTTTAAAAACCACATAATAAAACCATTCTGTAAAAATATAACGTCCACATGTGACAATGCCTAACATTTAGTTGTGATAAATTGTGAAAACTTCATCGATTTCAAAGATCTTAACTACTTACTTTAAATTAATTTGTATTTATGAAATAAAAATAAATGTATTTTTGCAATATACTAATTTGTATTAAATTATTAATTTATTAAATAGTTTTTTATTTAATTTTACCTTTCTTAAATTATGTAGTAAAGTAACCGCCCTGTGTGTATGAAACATGGCGCGCCTAGTGTACAGGCAACCATTATAACAGTTTTGTTCTATAGGCAATCAACATTACAGTACCGTGTATTTGTGGTAAACGAGTAACTGCGATATTCATGAAATAAATATGGAAATATATGTGAGCAGAGCCGTATTAAATTTATTCTGATGTGTTTCGTTTCCATGATTAGTGGAAATAAAAAGTGCGAACAAATCGCCAAAAACGGTGGTAAATTTATATGAGCAAATTTTAATGGGTAAATTTCATATTGGAGACTGCCGAGTACAAAAGCTTTCAGAAAAATCATTAGATGCATAAAAAGTCTGAAAGGTCTCAAGGTAATCAGTATATATATTGATCTAGCCAAATTTAGTCACTGTCACTGTGAAGTGAAAAATGGTCCAATGATAGGTAACTTTTAACACTGAATTTAACATATGTTTATGTTTTAAATACTCAGTAAACATTTGAGTTCTAATCTTATCCTTTGTAATGCGTTTTACGTGCTAGTGCACATTGTTTTAAGGATATGCGTAGTACATTCTGTGAAAATGCAATAAAATATATGCTTTGGGAGCTTATCGTACATGCATGTATTTTATATCTGGTTTTCGTACATTCCCCAACAAACAATCAACTGCCGGTAAACTGATGGCCCTTTGCCGCGATTGATGGGAAGATGACTGTTGGCTAAATGTTTTACATGGTTTGCGAGCAGTGTTGGATTGGGACATCCAGGGCCTACCGGTCGGGAGGGAGAAGGGCCCACTTTTTCTTGGTCCGATTTTCATTGAAAAGCAAAAAAAGGTTCTCTCACGTATTATATGGAGTTTCTTGCATTTCATTCACGAGGACCCTCTTACTGAACGAGGGCTCACTGCTTGAACGAGGGCCCACTGCTTGAACAAGAGCCTACCGGTCTATTGACCGGTAGGCCGACGGTCAAATCCGACACTGTTTGCGTGCCATCAATAATTAATTGATGTTGGCTTTGCGTTGGGGGACATCTCAGTCATATGTTTGTGACTTTTAAGTGCTCATATTATTTTTAAATGATATCTAAAAAATGCAAGAGAAACAAAAAGGTGGTAGTTTACTGCCATTCAAGTGGAGAGTCTGCAAACGATCGCACAGAAGTAGAGAACAAATAAGAAAAAATAAATTCATTAATATTTTTGTTACAATTTTTTGTCATTATTATATACGTATGTACCTTCTTTTTGATCCTAAATAATGAATTTAAAAGTTGATAAATTTGTCAAAATCCATCTACATATAGTTGAATTTGAAGTTTGTAATAAAATGAAGGACTAATTTAAAAGTTTTTTAATTGCCAATGTTTCAATATGATATATTTAATTATAATCATGATTGAAAAGATCAGAAATTCAAACATAATTTTCTCAAAACTATGCCTTTTTTCCAATAAACTGCTATACAATATTAAAAATAGCCAATATTGGGCCAGCAGTCAGCCATCAAAGTTTTAACAGTTAAAATAGCAAAGGCCTGTTCAATGCCCTTTAACTGTAGGATGACAAAGCGACTCTGGGATGTTAAAAGTCGTGTAACTGTTGTTGATGGAAAATTGGAAAATAAATTGGCAAGAAATCAGGATTAAAAAATGATTCAGAGAGGTACAGAAGCGTAAACTAAGAAAATGACCGAATGCCCAACGTCTTACACGTAACGGTAAAATAACATTATGATTAACTAAAATTAAATTACGCAGGAACTTTTTTAGATAAATAATTTATTAAATCTGACAAATCCAAAGAAAGACATTTGCAGTTTTTGAAACATTTCAGTGAAATAAAAAATGGTTTTGTCTCTTCCCCGTATGAATCCGGATCTACTCTTATTGTCCTCAGTTAATAAATAAGTTTGATATCGGTGAAATCATTCTTTCCCTATTCGTAAAGTTTTGCGGCATCATCTATCAAATATTTTGACATGTGAATGTACCATTCTTTGCGCACTTAAATCCATTTGGGATTTATAAATGACATCGAAATGTGAATTAATATAGAGTGTATAAATATTTTTGAAGTAGCTTTATCTATATTAATTTATTATACTGGACTTCCAATAATTAAGATACATTTTAAAATTAGGATATGTTAAAATGTTGGTTAACTAGGTACTTCCATTTTTACAAACACGTCTGGTAAACTTTTTTGTTCCCATGTAGGTTAGTTATATATTCTTGGATGATACATTCTAAAATGTAAAAGCCATCTAGGCCATATCTAGGCAGTGACTTGGCGTCCGGTGCCATACTACAAAAATTTGAGCCCCGCATACGGCGTTGAAAGCAGAGTTACATTTTTCGAGATACTGCAGCGGACGCAGAATTGACACCCATCGGGTATTTTATTTTTTATTTTTATGTAATACTAGCAGACCCGGTTGGCAGACGTTGTCCTGCCACAGATCTGGATCTAGACAACAAACCCATCTACCGGGTCCAACTATAGCCAAGAACCATCCAGGTGATCCGATAAAAATCTTTAAAATAGGTCAAGCCGTTTAGGAAGAGAATAATTACGAACACACGCAAAACTAAATTTTATATATAAAGGTTTTTCTATGTTTGGATAAGAAAATAAACAAATAAATAATAGAAACTAATACAAATAAATACAAAGAAATACAGATAATGGTCAGAGCGAACACAAAAGCCAATGTTGCCAACTGATGAACTGATTTTAACACAAAATTCATAAATGAAGTGAAATTTATAAAAAAATCAATTTAATAGATCGGTTTTATAAAAATCCTTAAATAAATATTGAGTATGATTACATAATGCTAGACACAATTTTCGCTACTTAAAAACAGGCTAACATTCTGATGAAGTAGCGAAATTTCGCTACTCCTGGCAACACTGAAAAAATTCCTACTCATATAAATTTCCTCCAGAGGGCGTATCACTTAGCTTGAATCGCGAATAGTAGTCGCCAAGCCTGGCAATTTATGAAAAATGTATAAGTGGTTTTTTAAAATAATCATTGTGCTCGTCATAAAATATTTAAATGGATTGCCAATTGTCATTCGCGAAAGTGATTTGAAAATAAATGTTAATTTTATTCATTTAAAAACAATTTTTGGGACGATTATTGTACAACCCGCCGTTAATTTTTTTCTGAAAACATTGTTATATATATTTTTTCAAATTATGACCTTGTTTGGCACCTACTGCGCAAACTCAAAAAAACCTCAATTTTATTCCTCTTGTAGGAACGTTTTTGTAAAATGTCAAATCCATTCTCCTAATTTCAGTTCTGTGGGTGTCATTCCTAAATGTCAAATTATTTAAAAAAAATTTAACTTCCATTAATAGATTTTTGTCCACGACAGTTTTAAAATGTATCAATTTTTTATTAGTTTCTTCACATAAAATGCTATATATTATGCATAATCATTATTCACTATTTTTTATCTTCCAATATGTTATGCATTGATTATAACGGTTGCAATTTTTACTCATTTTATTAGTAGGCCGTGGCTGTCATCTAAAAGTCGAATTAATTATTTAAACTGAAATGTCAAATTTTGAGTGCATGAAGTATAAAACTAAGAAAAAATGGATTTAGAATATGGAAAAGAAATGTCTTTACCTACGCCAGAAGTGAAAGAACTGCTAAAATTGGTAAGTAGATATCATCTTTAATAATAAAAAAAGTTATTCTTATTCTTTTATGTATTTAAAAAAATAACTAAAGTTATTTGTACCTAATATTATTTTACCTTTATCATCATATGAAAGTGTTTGTACATGGAATTACAATGTTTTCAATGGCGACAAAACATCATCTGCAAATCATTTTAAAGATTATGGAAAACCAGTAAGGCACATAAAAAAACCTAGAACCTGACTACCAGACACATCTTAATTGAAATTCCATAGATAGATTTCCTGGTTTTACACTTGTTTGATGAAATAATTTTGAGATCTTGGAAAAATATTGTGCATCACTTGTCTAAAAGGGACTTTTCACACTCGTAATGCATAAGTTAGGAACATTAACATTATTATTAAAAATTGAAAGATTTGACTTATATGGTAAGTGAAAGTGGATAAGTGAAAAACAGGTTTAATTAAACGTGGAACTTACGCAAATAACATACAATGTCATGAAGCAGGGTTAATTTTTGCACGACCATTTACGAACTCCAGATTGGAACTTGTATCTGAATTTGATATTAGAATCAGAAAGGTAAGGGGCCCAAATATTATTTTCACATGGCAGGCTTAAGGACCAAATATTTTTACGTAGGCAAACTTAAGGGACAAAGGACCCAAATATTTTTAATTTGACAGGCTTAAAGGACAAATGAATTAAATAATTTTATATGGGCAGGCTTAAGAATTAAAGGCACCAAATATTTTTAGATAAACAGGCTTAAGGTATAAGGGCCCACATATTTTTTATGAGCAGACTTTTAAGAGGTAAAGGGTCCACGTATTTTTATATAAATTATTCAAACAATTTGTAAACCTTAATCAATTGGAATGGTTTTTAAAAAAACAGGACTAGTGAAGATCCGCTTCATGATTTAACCTAATAGTCCAGTGTTTCAAGGTAATTCCGAATTCTTTCGGACTACACTGACCTGGATGAAAATTTGTAATTAAGCTTATCTTAGGGGTTAAAAACTACCCCTTTTGGCAAAAAAATGTGAAACCATATATACAGGTTATTTCTATATTCGATCGACAACGCTCTACCCCAGAGATCTCTCGTTAATTGATGAATTTTAATATAGGAACATGGACCCTTAAAAGGCTTAGTTACGGAGATACAGGGTATTAAAACTTTGAAATCAAAATTTAAAATTTTA